ATTTATAATTTTAAAAGCAACTAATGCTTAATGAATATTAAAAATAACTCAATCACGCGCACTATACCCGTAGTGCTGGGATTAACGACGACGGGTATAGTGCGCGCGATTGAGGGAGGGTTAGGTCCCCTTAAAACTGGGCAGGACACATCATTTTCTTTCTTTACGCAGAATTAAGCAAATTAGTTTATAACAACCCCATTATAATGGATTTCCTCAAAGTAACGCCTGATTCTATCAATGATAATGAAAATAGCATTCAAATAATATACTGAATTTATAAATATTATAATTAATGTTTTATACGTGGTAGAGCCATGCTGCAGCTATGTTAAAGTATAGTTGTAGCACGAATGGGTCGGCTCGGCCGGGGAAGGACCACGCTCTCACAGAATACCAGCGTAAAATAGCAGCTTAACACTGCTGTGTTCCTTACGGTAAGTGTAGAGAACCGGAGACCACCTTACTAACTGGGAAAAATAGGATTTAATTTATGAAATTGAACTATTTTAACCACTTCGTTGTCGTTATCGTAAGATAGAAATCTTACGATATACATTAGTCCACTCAAAGCGGTTAAAATATTAAACTTTTAGTAAAAATGAAGAACCAATTTCGGACGCTCTCTAAGAATACCAGCGTGAAATAGCAGCTGCGTATAATAGTTGTAGAGAACCAGAGACTCTTTTTTACTTTAAACGAGGCATTTCTTCTCGAGGCATCTTTTTTTTTTTTTTTTTTTATAGGAGAGGGGGCAAACGAGCATGCGGCTCACCTGATGGTAAGTGACTACCGCCGCCCATGAACAACTGCAACACCAGGGGGATCGCAGATGCGTTGCCGGCCTTTTAAAAAGGAGTACGCTCTTTTCTTGAAGGTCCCTAAGTTGTATCGGTCCGGAAAAATCGCTGATGGTAATCGATTCCACAAGGAGGTCGTGCGAGGAAGAAAACATCTTCTAAATCGCACAGTGGTGGACCGCCAATCATCCAGATGGTTTGGATGGTATCGGGAGTTCTGCCGCGATGTGCGTTCGTGAAATTTGGCGGCTGGGATTAATCCGAACAATTCCTCAGAGCACTCCCCATGGTAGATGCGAAAGAAAATGCAAAGGGATTCAACATCTCTTCGCAGTGCCAATGAATCGAGCCGATCGGAAAGGGCTCGGTCGTCGACAATTCGAGCCGCTCTGCGTTGGATGCGGTCAAGTGGAAGGAGCTGGCACTGGGGAGCCCCTGCCCAGAGATGGGAACAGTATTCCATGTGAGGCCGAACTTGCGCCTTGTAAAGTAGCAGGCGGTGTGCCGGCATGAAATACTGTCCCGCTCTGCTGAGCACGCCAAGCTTTTTAGAGGCCAATTTGGCCTTCCCTTCCAAGTGACCACGAAACTGCACGTCACTCGATATGTCGACTCCGAGGATACCGATACTGGCTGAGGCAAGAAGGGGAGTGCCTTGAAATTGAGGAGATACGACAAAGCGGTTCTTTTTAGCGGTAAACGCGCAAACTTGTGTCTTCTGAGGATTAAATTGGACTAGATTTAGTCGCCCCCAATCCGAGACTTTGTTCAGCAAAGACTCGACTTCAGACACAAGTTTGTTCCGGTACTCAGCGACGTTTTCCCGAGAAATATTGGCACGGCCGGTGTATAGAGCATCACCAGTGCTGTCATCCGCATAGCAATGAATGTTACCAGTTAGCAACATATCATTGATATGCAGAAGAAACAGCGTTGGTGATAGCACACAGCCTTGTGGAACACCAGCGTTAATAGGCTTGTAGTCAGAGCATGCACCGTCTACAACGACCTTGATGCTCCGATCTACAAGGAAGCTGGTGATCCAATTGCACAATTTCTCGGGAAGCCCATAGGAAGGGAGCTTCGAAAGAAGCGCTTTGTGCCAAACCCGATCGAAGGCCTTCGCAATGTCCAGACTAACGGCCAACGCCTCCCCCTTGGACTCTACTGCCTCCGCCCATCTATCTTAGTCGAGGATAAATGTAGATGTCTATGAGCCAGTGCATCCACTTAACATCAGGTGGACTGTGTACTCGTTTGTCACTACTATTAAAAAAAGAAATCTAAAATGAATAAAATAATTCTATAATTTCTACATAGCGTCGCTAATGAAGTCGAGGCGATTCTTGGATTCACAATAGTATTTCTATTAAATGTTTATTTTTACTATCATATCGTCCATTCTTTATTTTCATCACCCAACCACTCACGTATTTTTAGTTAGACGACGCAATGGTGGAATAATTTTATCGAAGACATTACGTCATTTAAAGACTGGCTGACACTTCAATTTCTTTGTCAGTCAAGCAACTTTACTTGCATTTGCGTCACAGACGTACTTTTAGCAAAGTTGCACGTTTGTATTTCGAGAAACGAACAAGCGTAAATATATTTATTTTTGTAATTAAATCATTCTGTAGGCGTCACATTAAACCAATTTAAAAAATAACGCACAAAAATGCGGAATACAATGAGTAGATAAAATCAGGTAACAATATTAAGTATGAGATCACAGTGAACCTGATTGGCTCAATGGAAGTAAACGGTCGTGTGGAAAAGTGTTACATAAAAATATTTGATATAAAATATTTTTTAGAAAAAGATGAACATGATCATCTCATATACCCGGTTTTCATAAACCACAACCTATAGTGGGCATGAGCCCTGCCCAGAAAAGGAAATCGCCAAATTTGATAGGCGGATGGGCCAATATTGAACCAGATGTCTTTCTTGCTCAAAACAAACTTTTATTTTTACATCTGGTGTACAAACGAGGTAAAATGTAAAATAAGAGTGTCTACCTCTTAGCTAACAAATCTCAAATATACTTGCCTACACGATTAGACTCAAGATAAGGTGATGTATTCTCGTAAACCATTTTTTTTAACGTTAACCCGTTACATTAGGTTTTTTCCTCTATCGTGAAGGCAGTTTACATGCATAAATTGCACATGGACAAACACCCAGATCAGGTATAATTATTTGTAGACCATACAAATTATTGTTCGTTAAGAGATTCGAACCTGAGGTATTAGCGCTGCAACTAAAATCTACGCCACTGCACTACGGAGCCGTCATTCTGATACCAAAGAATGATATGGGGTAGTGGATATTCTTACAACACCACTATGTATGGTGACATAATAATAATAATAATAATTTATTTCAAGAAACTGTTTAATTAATTCAAATAATGTCTTAATTTAAAATAGTCTATAAAAGGCACCTGAACTACGATAAACCTGCATCTCAACCTCTTTTTTAAAAAAAAATCTCAGGTGTATGTGCTAATAGATACATTTACAAATATTATCTGTTTCTTATATAAAATGAATAACTTGTCAACTAATTACATACATTAGATTACACATAAACATTAGGACGAAATAAAATGTGCAATAGAGTGATATTATTTTAAATCAAGGTAAAAGTACGTATAAACTACATACGTTTCTGGGCATTGTTGTCCTCTCATTTCTGTGAGGATTTTTAGGTGGTGGCAGACTTCACATGTATTCGAAATATTGTTTATTCTTCTCATTTCTCAGACACACAGGTACACTTATAATGTTGAAATGATTTTGTCACAAAACAGTTTCGCGCGCGACCTTACTTATCAGAACGAGGCAAATAATGACAGGAACGCTTCGCGGAGCTTTTAAGTTCATTAGTAGCCGAGTGCTGTTTATAGAAAAATAATGTCATCGAACAACTCCCGATGGTACGTTCCATAACGAGGGATTGTTATTTTTGTATACTTTTTTCATTTTACTCATTATCCTGTTTGGGCTCCATCTTTACTGTTTTTCCAATTAGTGCGTTTTCATTACTCTGTGTTGTTTTTTTTTTTAAACTAAATTATTTATTTTCATCTTATTTAAAATTTTAAAAGCAACTAATGCTTAATGAATATTAAAAATAACTGCAAGGTTATGTTATTCAGGAGGTCGTTTCTTAAAATTTAATAATTAAAATTATAATAATAATTTCCTTATTTGCGTAGAAACAAGGTATTATAATGTGGTACAAGTTTAACAGAGCGCACATGTTTGGCCGTAATAAATATAGCATTCAAATGATACATTGAATTGAAGGATATTATAATTAATGTTTTATACGTGTTGGAGCAATGCTGCAGCTATGTTAGAAGTATAGTTGTAGCACGAATGGGTCGGCTCGGCCGGAGAAGGACCACGCTCTCACAGAATACCAGCGTAAAATAGCAGCTTAACACTGCTGTGTTCCTTAAGGTATGTGTAGAGAACCGAAGACCCTTTTTACTGAAAAAGAGGCATTCCATCTTAGTCCTCACGGGTGACAACGCATCTGCAGTTTGATTCTTTATTGAGGATAGATGTAGATGGCTATGGGTCACAGCAATCACTTACCATCAGGTGGGCTGTATGCTCGTATGTCACCCTATCTTATAAAAAAAATTAAGTTACATGTCAATCCACGAATAAAAATTGAATAAAATAAAATTTTATAACTGTATTAATTCAAGTTATGCTTTAGCACAGAAATACAAATCTATGCTGTAAAAGTTATTCTGACTTATCCCTTTATACAACATGTGTATAAACATATTGGCATTGAGCATTTTAATATCTCAAGGAATCTTGTTATAAATTCTGACACACATACAGAGGCAACTTTTCCGCTTACATATACCACCTTGGAATGTCATCATATAAGATATTATTCTGTGAGGATCTCTCAATCTTAAATTATCTACTCTATTAAATGAATATGTATTGCTGTGTACAAAAATAATGAAAATATTATAATAAAAAAAATATTAAATAATGTTCTACAGACCAAATTTTGGTCACAGTTGCCAGCTTCAATAGAGAATCGCTACCACGTTATGGCATCGTTCGTAGTAACTAAAACAAATATATAATATTATATTAAGCACGCGTTTCATGACTAGTTCATGTCAGTCATTCAATAGTAACAAAGTGTTCCTATTGTCCACAGTTAAACCAAAATCGGTGGATTTGAGAACTGGCGACGGACAGGTTCTGGCTGACGGCGCTGTCTTCGGACCACTTCTGGAGAGGACAAGGATCAACATAAGCTGCGTTGTGAACGAAGGCAAGCCACAGCCTAAGGTGGTGTGGTACTTCAACGGAAAGGAGATGCTGGATGGTAAGTAGATTCCAATAGTAATATTTTTAGAATATATATATAATAATCAGTTTTGAATATAGATTAGAAGATTTTTTTACGTGGTAGATCCACGCTGCAGCCAGCCATGCCATATTAGTAGTACAGTTGTAGGACGAATGGGTCGCCTCGGATGGGGAAGGACCACGCTCTCACAGAATACCAGCGTAAAATAGCAGCTTGTTTCGTATGGTGAGTGCAGAGAACCGAAGACCCTTTTTACTGGCTACGAGATATATTATTTTGATACTCACGGGTTACAACGCATCTGCGTTTTTATTCGTAATCGAGGAGAGATGTAGAAGTCTATGGTCCACAGCAACTACTTACCATCAGGTGGGCTGTGTGCTCTATTGTCACTCTTATACTATAAAGAAATAAAACTTATTGAAAGTAATTTAAGATTTACCATGGGTTCAGAAAAAACTGTTCTAGGAATATCCATACAACTTCTTTTTGAAATTGTTTACCACCGGCGATTTTTCCGGACCAATATGGCTTAGGGACCTTCGAGAAAAGAGCTTACACCTTTCTAAAAGGCCGGCAACGCATCTGCAATTCCCCTGTTATTGCAGTTGTTCATGGGCGGCGGTAGTTACTTACCTTCAGGTGAGCCGCATGCTCGTTTGCCCCCTCTTCTATAAAAAAAAAAACCAGCACGAAACGCAGCGGGACATTTATTATTATATGCATTAAATCTGCTTTGGCCGGGGAGTAAGATAATGGTCAAAGCCACGCTTTACCGATGCACGTGTCAATTAGAGATAATAAAATCACGTATAATTTGCAAATGAGAAGTTAATTAAATGATACTGAATTTTTAACGGTCGAGTTTTCTGAAGTCAAATTATTTCTATACGTTTGAATACTGATTTTTATTGGTTTTCGTTACATGTTATATATTCAAAATTTCAGCTATATTTTTTTATAACTGGCTTTACGGCTCTGGGTTCTAGCCCTTCTGAGCCTGAAGTTACGATGTATAACTATCCTTCATAGTACACTGCTTCACAATATGTTGATGCGTCACATTGTGCAGCCCTTGGGAGATTTTGACGGCAACTTGAGCCAGCAGACAGCTGACAGTTGGCGATGGTATCTGAAGGTGCCTAAGCAGACAGGCACCTTATCTTGAGATTCACATCACCATCTGAGCACTTGTTTCACCATTTCCACTAATAGTTCACATACGCAGACACTTAATACACAAAAAAAGAATTGGATTTTGATATGTAAAAGTGGTGCACTTTTACATATCAAAATCTACATCAAACCATTATTTAAACAAAAATACAGGAGGATCACACCGCCGCCGCTCAAGTTCCCGCCAAAACCTCTTTTCAGCTACAGAAATGAGATCTAAATTATTTTTTTTACATCCATTCCATTCCAGCCTATAATAATCAATTCGTGAACATAGGCCCTTTCCATAGATTGAATAATGATATTTTTTCTTATTTCGTCTTTTATTATTTACCAGTTTTTTATTAAATTGAGTTGTTATCAGGCAGATGCTGCTGCCCATCTCTTGTTTCAGTTCACTCTGTCGCCTCTTACGACACCCACGGGACTATATAGGGTAGTGGATATTCTTACACCGCCACTACACGGTATTACCATCGCCACTCTAAATATTTTACGTCTAACATATAATGGTTTTACCGTTTTCTCCAAAAGTAGTAAGATTTTAATGAATGAATGAATGAATGAATGAATATACTTTTATTGTACACCACGAACAAATATACAAATGTCATAACAAAAATCAGATTATAATATGTACAATTTGGCGGCCTTATCCCTACATAGCGATCTCTTCCAGGCAACCAAAGGTGTAAAGTAATACAAACAATGAATAGGTAGGTGGTGCAATATAAATGTACAAATAATAAATGCAAAAAAAAGATATAAATAACTAAGTAATACATGAAATAATATAAATTACTAACACATAATAAAAGATAAAGTAAAACATATAATATATACATATACATACACATATACACATATACATACATACATATACAGTATAAATATACATACATATACACATATCTATAAACATATATACATAAATATACACACAACACGTATATATCAATATACATACATATACAAAATTCTAAATTATTAAATAATTTGTAGTAAGATTTTACTTATGTTTTGATGTCAAACATCTATATCGGCAGTTCAGACCGGTCTGTTGGCGTGGTGACGCGTCGCTACGGCATATGCCGCTACACTCTATAATAGTATGTATGTATTAGTAGTATGTATAAGACATGTGTCATTCATTGAAGAAAAAGTTTGACTTTTTCTTCAATGAATGAACAAAAAATAAATAGAATATTTATAAAAATCAAGAAATTTACATAATTTTCATTGCATATAATATTTTTAAATCAGTTATTAATTAATTTTAATTTAATTCTTATTGAAAATAATGCACTATTTTAGTGCATTATTTTCAATAAGAATTAAATTGCTTGAAAAATAAATTTAATAAAGACTAATAAAATTTTAATTCAAAATCAACTGATAAGAAATGGCGCAAGAATGTTATGCCTGTTTGTTTTTAATATGAACATCAAAAAATTTAATTTTCTAACTTAAACATTTATTATTGATATTTATTCTTTGATGTGAATTTAAATTTAAATGTTTATAAAATAAACAGTTATATTTTTATTGAAAAAATTCTTAGTATTTTATTTTCAATGTGCCATATCTATTTCCTGTCGTAATATATCCTTTTATGTATATTACATATTAATAATAATTTCAATATTTTACACCTGGTGAGCGTCTTGCGAGGGCTCACAGTTCTTTTTTTTAAGAATAAGGGTAACATATGAGCACACAGTCCACCTGATGGTAAGCGGATGTTGTGACCCATACACAACTATTGTTGAATGTAGCACTCCTTTCTGGATGTCCCCATTGTATATTAAGTGGTTGATGTAGCCTATAAACATCTACATCTATTTTCGATTAAGAATCAAAGTGCAGATTAGTTGTCACCCGTGAGGACTAAGATATAGCCTCGTTACCAGTAAAAGTATAAACATCATACCAACTCTATTATTCAAACTTATTAAGCATCGAGGAAATTTTAAAGACTCATAAACATCGCATCGGTACGCTTTCGCGTGGTAATGCTTCCATAGCGCACAATTTATTAGCTCGTTCCAGAGGCCCCAGTGCTTAATTGAACATAGAGTAATGTGCCATGAATTTAACAGTAACTGCGCCTCCGAAGACTGCCATATCTTTTGCTACGTATATTAACTTCATTTCGGTAATGTAAAGTATATTTTATTTGGATTAATGGAACGATGTTTTATTTAAGGTTTGTGGCGTATTTAACGATTTTAACGCACGCACAAATTGATATTTAACTCGTACGAAATCTTATTGAAGCCTTCATTTTAACCCCTAAGGAAAACAGAGGTGTATTTTAAGATTTTAGTGTTTCTGTCTGTATTTGCGTGTCTGTCTGTGGCGCCATAGATCCTGAACGGATAAATCGATTTTGACATATTTTAATTCGTTTGAAAGGTGTCTTATTCTAAAACGTTCTTAGCTACGTTTCAAGAGAATATGTTCAGCCGTTTGAAGATCATCAGCTGTTTTTGTTTGGATTTTTTTTTAATTTAAATGATTATAAAACTGAAGTAACAAACGAACTCACAGTCCACAACCACCTGATGATATGTGGCTAATTTAGTCCATGAACATCTGCAACCCACTTCAATATAGTAAAGCTACGGATTCATTGTCACCTCTGAAGATTAAGGTTCTTTTTACGTGGTAGAGCCATGCTGCATCTATATATTATAGTTGTAGCACAAATAGGTCGGTCTTAACTGTAAAAAGAAACACACTCTCACAGAATACCACCGTTAAATAGCAGCGTAACACTGCAGTGTTTCGTATGGTGAGTGTGGAGAACCGGAGCTCCTTTTTCTGGAAACATGGCATTCCATCCTAGCCCTCATAGGTGACAATGCATTGGTATTTTGATTCTTAGTCGACGATAGATGTAGATGTCTGTGGGCCACAGTATCCACTTACCAAATGGTTGACCGTGTACTCGTTAGACAAACAAAAAAATAACTATCTATTGTCTTATAGCCTGCAATTATACTAACTCTCTGTACTCTTCAGATCGGAATACAGCAGTAGAAAGGCATTGCTACAGTCTATGCTGCATTACATAGAATCGTTATAGCTCAGGGGCTAAACTCTCGCCTTATATTTTACAGTACGCGAGAAACCTAGATAAGATCTCGTCGGTACCCATGAAATTGCTAATTGCAGTTTTAAGTGTTTATTTTTTTCTTCAAAAAAGACGTTACCCTCCACACTAGGATTTTTCCTGTATCGTAAAAGAAATGTTCAGTTTACATACATAAATTGCACAAGGACAAATGTCTAACCCGGAACAATTGTTTGTGGAACATACAAATAGTCATTTTCATTTACCGCGGTGAAGGAACAATGTGAGGAAATCTGTAATTCTGAAATATAGAAATACTTCGATGACAAATATGAACTCCGCTATCATGCACTTAAATAGTTCGGCGAATAATTGCTCCATAATTAGAAATTGGGGGAGGCGTGTGCCCAGCAGTGGGATGGAAATAGTCTGTATCTTGTAAGCAAATGTAAAAATAGAAGTGAAGTAAGAATACGATCTCACAGAATACCAGCGTAAATTGGCAGCTTGACACTGCTATGTTTCGTATGGTGATTGTAGAGAACCGGAGATACATTTTACTCGAAAACAGACATTCCATCTTAGTCCTCACGGGTGACGACGCATCTGCATTTTGATTTTTTATTGAGGATAAATGTAGATGTCTATGGGTCATAGCAACCACTAACCATCAGGTGGACTGTGAGCTCGTTTGTCACCCGATCCTATAAAAAAAAGAATACCGACTACCCCATATCATCACGTGGATATCGCAGCCGGGCAG